CTTCTAAATCTGGTGCCACAATTAATCAGGTCACATAAAATATTTTCTATTCCTTCTGTCTCGCTTTTGTTGTTTGCTGTTGACCTGTACCTACTGTTGAAATGTTGCTGCTGTTGATGTCTTTTTCTAATGCCCACTGTTACTTTATTGCTATTTTTTTTTCTTTATATGGTTGATGCTTTAGTTGTTTGTTGCTGCTTTTTATTGTTGTATGTTTTTGTTGTTGAGTTCATGCTTTTTATAGCCTGCTGCATCTCTAAATTATCAATCAATAAGGACATGATTCTTGAGTTAGATCTTGGAACTGCTGTATAGGTGACACAGAATTCAGTTTATCTTGGAAAAACTATAGGGGAAGATACCCCTGAATTGAAGATTGCTACTGGTGAAATTTGTGTGTTGTCGAAATAGTAAAATTGATATGTTCCTTACTACTCGTGTAGCTGTGTGTAGGCTGATACACAATCGGGTGGATTGAATCAGAATTAGATGGGCCATGTTAATCAGTTTTTGCTTCATTGATTAGTTACTACTCGTACATTGCTAACTCCTTGTGTTATTGAAAATATACGGAGTACGAACTTGACCATATTTATAATATACTCTTTTAAATCCGTGTGTCTAAAAGAGATAAAGGGTTGTATTTTTAGGGACAGAGGGGAAGGGGAACCCATTGAAGCTCTGAGGCAGCTTAACATTACTCCAGTAATGGGTGGGAACATAGGGGAATTGCTGGGAGCCGTGACAATCAGCACCCCACAACTTAAATGAAACTTTTGGTCCCCTAGAATACTAATCTGGTTCAGGGCTTGACTTCAATTCTTGTTAAATTAGTTTTACTTGTTAAATCTTGTAGTAATTTAGTTTATGAAGGCAATATAGACAATGTGAATGTGATAGCTCTCTTTAGAGGGGATGGTGACATGTTACTCTTTTTTTTGTTAACATGTGTTTCGTTACAGCTGGTACCCTTTTCCATCCCCATATTTCTAATTTTTGGTTGCATTTTACTGAAATTTATGATTATAGTTGATCTATTTGGAGATTTATTTGATTGTGTTAGAGTTGGTTCAATGAGTTTTTATTTCTTGCTCTAATATTGTCGAAGTTTATTGTATAGCTGAATTTATATATTAGGGGGGTGGTTTGTTACTTGTGGGATGTTGTGATTTGCTATCAATATAGAAGATTTTTTTTTTTTTTTTTTTTTTTTGACAAGAGCAAATGTATTCATAAAATCAGAGTTTACAATCTACAAAACAAGAACTTAAACTTAAAATATGGCTTTTAACACTAAAGCCTTTACAACAACTTTTTAGACTAGAGACGAAAGTAAACATGAATTGGCCGGATAAGTCGCAGATTAGGGACTTCTTACAAACCAAGGAGCAAAATCATACTACACTCCAAGAAGAGAGCAACGGAGGGAATCGAAACTGTTTGACCATGGCTAGCACTTCCTTACCTGGCGGAATCAACTCATCACCAAGTAAGGTCATCAAACGGGTCACTTGAACTAGTGACCTCCCAATCAATAGCTTTCCTTGTTGGCAAGAAAGCTTTGACAACGTTGAGGCTCGAGAAACCCCAAAACAAAGTTTAGGCGCCTGCTTCAGATAATAAGGATCAGGAGTAATGACCAAAAAAATCATTACATCCGAGGGAAGAGAAACTAAACCCATACCACTCCAACAACTTACACATTTCACCTTAGCCATAGCCAACTTCCTGTTCAAACCCCCAACAACCGCACCTGTAACCTCTCTTACCACTGTAAACACCCCACTGTCCTTAACAAAGGGGCTTAACTCCCACTGCACACAACCATCCAAAATACTATAGCCAAAACAACTAAATAGCCCGGAAAACAACCAAAGGGGGCTAAAACATACCATAACAAAAACTAAGGCAAGTAAACTCTGATAATTACTAAGAACAAACATACTAAGAAAGGGAACAAACTCGAGGAATGCACCGTCCAACCCGACAACCCGAAACCACTTACACTAGGAACCTCGAAACCATAGCCCTAACTTCACCGTTTTCGTCACTTACTACTCTTGACGGCGGCGTTAGACCTAGCCCTTCAATGCAAGGACCCACGAAACCCTAACCCTAACTTTACCGTTTCCGTCACGGTCTAAAATACCGATGACCTTTATGACGGCGGCGTTAGGCCTAGTCCTTAGACCTTGTTTCACCGACGGGGAGACCCTTTGAATAAACACAAACCTTCCACACAAAGGTGGGCAATGGCGACGGAGGAGGACGATCTACACACTCCCCTCATAACCTTCGAAATTTAGACAAGGTTCTCACCAGCACCTCCAACGGATTGAAATCCCCAAGATGAAAGATTACCCGATCCCCAAAATAACTACGAAGTCACCGCCACCCCCACCGCGAAACCCTAAATTCGACGAAAATTGGCCGGCCGCACCCCTTGACCACCAAAACTCGTCAGCCGGCCTTTTAAAAGGCCAACTAACCTAGCCCTGACCCCCGTAACCGCCTATCCAGCCACCCCGATACCAAAAACCACCAACAAGTCCGACGAGCGCGCACGGTGACTTTAGGTGGTTTTGGGGGTCAAGGTTGGCTGGGTTGGTGGTTTTGGAGGTCGGGGATGGGTTAAAGCTGGTGTACAGATCCAGCCGTTCGGTTTCGATGGGTAAGAGGGGTGGTTGGTCGGTTTCCGGTGAGGCTAGGGGTGGGGTTAGGGTTTGACGGTGGGGATAGGTGGCTGGGAATTTTTTTTGTTTTTTTTTTTTAAATTTATTATTTTAAAATATAATTTAAATAATTTTTTAATAAAAAAAAAAAATCAAATTAGCCATAAACCTAAAAAAGGTCACTATGGTTAATTTTTCTAAACCTTGGTGCCACTTAAGAGAGTTGGAAAAGAATTCGTCTTCCACGAAGAAAAGTTGAATTCATGAGACCGCCATGTAGAATTTCCCTAATAATTTAAGTACTAGATTTGACTTGTGACCGATCATACAAGTTATTAATTGACTTATACTATAATTAACTCTCAATTAAATAAAAATGACTTAATTAAAAATAGAATATATCTTAATATTAATTTTAAATATAAAAAATTTTGACTTTTGGTACCACAAAAAGACCTGTTATTCAATTTTGCTACCTCTAACAATTATTTTTTTTATTTTACTACCACTAAAAATCACATAATTTAAATTTCATTACCACTTAACGGAATCCGTTAGGATTCCGTTAAGTTTATTCAAAAATAAAAAAAAATGAAAAATTAAAATGTTTATAAAAAAAAAAAAAAAACCCCAGCCACCCTCAATTGCCCCCCCTCCCGTCAGCCACCCTCCCCCCTCCCCCCTGCCGGCGGCCGGCGCTTGGGCGAACGCCGGCGACCCCACCCCCAAACCCTTTCCCCCACAAACGGACGACGATGATGATGATTGTATGATTGTAGGGGGGGTCGATTCGAACAAGGGGAAGATCGAAAATTTTTGACCTCTAATTCGACAAGTTGTGTCGAAATTGATTGAGGGCTTTGTTTTCTTTAGAATTCAATTGCAAAATCATGTAAATAATTGTTATTTTCGTTTTGAAATCAAAGAGTTTGATTCAAAAGTTCTTATAAACCCTAACTTTTTCCCCAAATTGATTTTGAATGAAAATCATCAAATTAATTCAATAAGATTGAAAATTGATACCAAAATCTTGTTTTGGGATTGAATTCGAACATCAAACGCTAGAAACTCTTGATTTTAATTCGAAATTGTTCGAATTTCGGGATGTTTTTGTTCTCATGTTCGTCGAGGCACCGTAGGAGGCTGCGTGCAAGGGTTGCGCGCCATTCAAAGGCCGTCGGTGGTTGCGCCGGCTCGCGTTTTTCCGACGATCGTTGAGGCCGCACGTTGGCTGGAATCAGGTTGCAGCGTGGTGGTGGCTGGAAGCTGTTCATGGCTGCTGCCTGCTGTTGTGAACCTGACTGCTGCACTTGACTGGGGAAGGAGGAGAGAGAGAGAGGCAGGGTTGAAGTGGGCCCCACAAGCGGCTAATCTAACAGTTTCCGTCAACTGGTATCAGTTTTAAAAAAACCTGATTTTTAGTGGTAGTAAAATAAAATAAAAATTGTTAGAGGTAGCAAAATTGAATAACAGGTCTTTTTGTGGTACCAAAAGTCAAAATACCCTAAGAATTAAGAGGGTTACTTTACTTAATTTTTACTGTAAAAACATTTAATCAATTCACTAAGAAAAAAGAGAGTTACTTTAATCAATTAGAAAGAATTGACAATAAAATCTGCTTTACAACCACTAGGAAGAAAGAGAACTACTCTAATAATCAGAATACTTAATAAAACTAGTGTATTTCTATTGTTAAGGACAACTTTATCAAGTGTAATAAGCAAGCGGCATCAAAGTTGTATTCATACAAATTTATGACCCACTTTACATTAATCTAGTAACAATGAAAAAGAAATGAGATGTTAAAAAAAGGCAAGTGTAATTAGCAAGGAGAGTTAAAAAGCCTAAAAATAATAATATTAAGGGAGAACCCATATCAAAGTATAATCATTCTTCTAGTCACTAGGCGAAAAAGGCAAATAGGCACCGGTTCAAACCCCCCATTTCGCACCGGTTTTGAACCGGTCCGGATTTGGGGGGTGCTAAAACCCCACAGATTTCGCACCGGTTCAAAACCGGTGGGAAAATGACTTTTCGCACCGGTTCTAGGGGTGAACCGGTGCCAAAACCTAAACTTTTCGCACCGGTTTTAACTTAGAACCGGTGCCAAAAGTCCCCAAAATTATTTTAAAAAAACAATTAGCACCGGTTTTTTTCCAAAACCGGTGCCAAAAATGCCCAAAAAAACAAAAAAAAAAATTTTTTTTTTGCATGTTTTTCACTTAAATTGTACCAAATACTTATATATAATCATAATATACATAACACATATATTTTCTTCAATATCTTGTAATATTACACTTTAAAAAACTGAAGAAAAAAAAAAAACAGAATCAAGGTCTGGAGAAGCAGAGTCCTCGATTTAACAGCCAGGTCAACTTTCCTTTAGTAAGCTGCTGTTTTCTGTTGGCTGTGTTGCTTGCTTTGTGTCTAGTTGCTGGTTTCTGTTTGCATGGTGTGTTTAGCTATTGCTGGCTACTGCTTTCTGTTTCTGGCTGGCTGTTAGCTGTTGTCTGGTGGTGCTGTGTCTGCCTGGTGCTGGCTGTTAGCTGTTGTCTGGTGGTGCTGTGTCTGCCTGGTGCTGGCTATTGCTGTTGTTTTACCTGTCAAAGCTGCTACACACACACACTCCCTTCCATACAAGATGCATGCATGCTTTTTGGTTTCTGAAAGAAGGAAGAGGGAAGGGTTGTAAAGTAATTCTTAAACAATATTCAGTACATCACAAAAGTCACAGAACTGAAACCCCATCCAGAATAACTTGTTTATAGAAGAGATGCTAGTATAAGGTATACAATTGCTACTTATAAGTATCCACTGTTTTGGCAAAAAACGCATTTCTTTTTTTTTTTTGACAAGAAAAAAAAATAAAAAAGGAAAAAAGAAAACAAAAAAAAAAAATTCATTATACATTGATTTCCTTGATAAATTTGACGATAATCGTAAACCACTTCCCGCAATGATAAAAAATTGTATGTGGTGGACAGGGGGAGGATAACCTCACCAAGCTCTTATAGGTTCCAGAAGCATGCTTTTTCTTCAATGTATATATCAACTCATCAGCATAGAGAAATGGAGTTGTAGGCATACCTGAACAAGCACAACGTGTTGAAATCCATTTTTTCACAAGAAACAATATGATAAAAATTGATTGAGCACATTGGTGAGGATCCAACAATATGGAGTAGTAATGAAATTGAACATGACAAGTAACAGCCCTAGGGGTATGTTCATCTTCAAACGGTTGCACTTGTAAAACCATAAATCTTCATAAAATTAAATAATCATTGTGTGCTCACATTGATCTAGTACTAAACAAGGCATGGCATAAGAACATCAGGAGTCAATTCCACGTGTATTTAAGAACCTGCCAATGTACTACCTACTATATGAAGAAGGATTTTGTAAGGATAAGTCAAATAGACAACATGAAAGCACCTAAAAGCCAAGAGAGACTAGCCGCACAATAATTTCCATAATATGCTGTTACTCCCGGTAAATACTCAACACTCAAAAAGCTATAGTAGTACAATATAAGATATTGTAAGAGATTTATAATATAAACATTCAAAACAAACAGATTCCATAAACAACGAAAGTATTGCAAGAGAACTATGAGGATCAAAATACTAACCGAGCACACCAGCACCACCATGGTCCGAATAATAGATAAAAATATGATCATTAAGGCCACTATCCACCACCTTTCCACTGCCACCAGTAATAGCTTCTTTGTTACCAAGTAACGCTGCCAAAAAATTGTTGACAGTCACATGTTCCCCAGTATAATCCTGCCATACCACATCAAGCAGACGAGATTAAATTCTTCATAACATTCATTAAGTGACAATGGAAAGGGTGAACTAGAGAAAACCTTTGGGACTCCAGCGTAGACATCACTTCCATGGGGATTATTGATGATGACCCCGGGTCTCGGATTCTCCTCATGATAAGCGATGTCATCATACATGAAAACAATAATATTTTCATCTTTTAAACCACCTTTCTTCAAAATTTGGTAAGCATGACAAACGTCAGCCTGGACAACAGATTTAGCAAAATCACAAGCACAGTGGTACATTACAATCACACAAGCAAGTTTAGGAATAAACTCACTCTTTAATAAGCATAGAGTTAGACATTGAAAAAGACCAAATTACACTTCAAGATAGATGAGAAGTCAGTTTTATTTTAATAAAATCTTTTCTTTTATGTCTATAAATGTTTGTCAAGTACTTAATCATAATTTGAAATAGTGTTTAAAATGGCCCTTATCTAAATGGCATTTAGTTCAAAGTATAAGAAAAAAAAAATGATTTGTTGTTCCTTATTCTGGGAGTTGGCCAGAAGGATATTAGAAGTTGGAATTTAATAAACGTAGACCTCCATATCACCACTTCTATACTCCCTGTCTATTGTTCTAGCTAGTTTGATTAATACTCTTAATATTTTTGTCAAACTTAGAATAATAGGGTAAAAGTCAAACCACTCACGAACCAAAGTCGTCTGAAATGTTTTGTGGTTCTCGCGAATCTATTATCAATTTAAATTTCTAATCTACGAACAAGTTACAAGTTATCTTCAAAATATTATAGATCGAAATTGAATAATTAGATACGAGTCAATTTTATCAGATCTAGACGACGGAGGGCACACGACAAGGAAGGACAACATAACTTGGAAAATTTTATAAAATGAGTAGCTAGGCAAGGACCACCACTCAACAATCTTAACCTACCAAAGCATAATGATAGCTGTTACACAAGACAACAGTTCATATCAAACGGCCCAAAATGATATCTTAACCTACGAACTAAATGCCATTTACATAAGCACTAGTATGAAAAGGGCAGGATTATTTTATAAAAATATGAAAAAGAAAAAAAGCTGCTGAATTTGGATCATACAAGATATTGAACATAACCAGAATAATGTAGCTATGTCAGCATAGTCCATGCCATGAGCTAATAAAATTTGGGCTGGGAATTCTCTAATTTGAAGACAATGTCTTGATTGACACAAGGTTATTTAACAAAACAAAAATTTAGGTCATGTAGCTAGATCTGCATAGCCAAAATGATGAACAGCCAAGATTACAGTTATGCATCATCATCTAGCTTCACTTACTACCCAATGAGTATATAGCATTTATAATTCTACAGGAAGGTTTGGTAATTTTGGAACACCTATGATGAACAGCCAAGTCAAAACAATAAAAACTAATGAAAATCAGGAAATCAACATGGAACATGGTCATTAAGTCTTATTAAATTTACACGCAGAATAACAACAGGAGGCCATTAGGAAGACAAATATATGAATTGAAAAGACATTAGAAAGAGCCACAGGTTCCTGTACCTTTATCTCATTAACAAAAGTAAGCAGTCATGTTTATAATATAAGTGCAAAAGTCATATATAATTGAGCAAACATCAGTCACTAATTCATTGGCCTTCAGCGCAAGAGAGATTTCAGTTTACCCATAGGATGACATATAACTATACCAAGAACTTACAAGATACAAAAAATCAGGAAGAAAATTAAGTAAGTAAAGTCAATACCTGCATAGCTCTGATAATAGTCCCGACTACTCCAATGGTACCTAAAACAAGATAGCTCTGCAATCTCTCTCGCTGCAGGCCGTCCTTTGCGTCTAATCCAATGGTACCTAAAACAAGATAGAAAGATTTCAGATAAACACTCAACTTGAAATGCTGACAACATAATAAATAATTCGCTTGTAACAAAAGCAGGAAACATACACGCTGGGAATTAACATCACATAACTACTCCAATTACACAGAAAACAACAAAATTTTGCCATGAATATCCTCTAGTAAGCACACAATAGGAAAACAAAGGAAAACGCATAGGCAGGTTGTAGGCACGTGAAAAAAAAACAGGTCACTTTTTCAACTATGTATAGTCGACAAATCGACTCAACAAATAAATAGCATGAATAAAATCATAGCAAAAGTAAATACCAGTAAGCTGTCATGAGCCAACCCACACCACCACTACTCTACACTTACAGCAGAAGGAAGAAGACAAACACAGCAGCAACAAGGGCAGGGGAGCACTCCCCACCCATAACAGCAACCTGACACAGCAGCAACAGGGGCAAGGGAGCACTCTCCACCCACAACAGCAGCCTGCAACTCCACAGAGCTGTAACCGTTGGTGTCCTATTAGTCTCCTTTAAATTAATTCATGCTTTTGGGAAAAAGACGAATGGTAGTACATGTAGTAATTGAAGCTAGTTAGTATAGTCCTATATATATGAGAAGTTTAGGAGAGAGAAAGGCATTCAAAAAATTGTAGCCTGGGACTTGGAGACTTGTGGCCTAAAGTCACTAATTTTGTATTTCCTACTATCAATCAATCCGTCCTTCTCTCTAATTATCCCTTGAACTGTGTCAATTCCTACTCAATCCACGTAGTCCGTTGCAATTGGTATCAGAGCAGCCATGGCCCCGGCAACCGGAACACACACCCAACGAATTGAGGCTTTAGAAGAGCACATTGCAGAAATAGTCTCAAAGGTGGATGGGGGCGAGAACTCCATCCAACAAATTGTTGCCAGGACAATTGCGGAAAGCATGGAGAACCTCCAACGGTCACTCACCGAACAGTTCAGCAAAAATCAGGAAGAGGAGGCGAGGAAGGATCAGGAAGCCATAGAAGATGCCAGCCAGAGAATGGAAGGAAGGCTGAGTCGCTTCAGAGAAGACCAGAATGGGAAAATCTCACTCTTAATGAGCGGCCAGGAGAAGTTCTTTGAAGAGATGAGAGGAATGATGAATAGGGTGAGGGACCTGGGGAAGAACTCTATTGGCGAGGGGGAAGAACAGTTTTCCGACGCCGGTAGAATCAGAAACGAGCGAATAGGGTTTAATATTGGGAGGTTCAGAATGGAGGACGAGGGTGACAGCCGAGAACAGCAAGAGGGAAGGGGAAATTGGAAGTACCGTAAATTGGAAATGCCGTTGTTTCAAGGAACCGATCCTGATGGATGGATCCTAAGGGGCAAACAATACTTCCATTTTTACCGGCTGTCAGAGCACGAGAAGATACAAGCTGCGGTGGTTTCCATGGAGGGCGACGCTCTCCAGTGGTACCAATAGGAGAGTCGCCGGCGACCGGTTCGTAACTGGGAGGAGTTGAAGGAGCGTGTGTTACGCCAATTCCGTCCGGCAAACTCTGGAACCCTTCATGATCAGTGGCTGGCCGTCACCCACACCACCACAGTCGCGGATTATCGGCGGGCCTTTATTGAGAAGGCGACTCCATTGATGGATGTGCTGGAGAGCTTGATGAAGGGGCATTTTGTCAATGGGTTGAAGGAGGACATTCGGGCTGAAATACGAATGCTCAACCCGTTAACTTTGGAACAGGCTATGGATCTGGCTACTCGGGTTGAAGAAAGAAACCGGGTTAGTGGGCAAAAGAAAACGGGAGCCGGTTTCACTAAGCCTGGGCCCTTCTCTTATTTTAACCAAACTCCAGCATCTACCTTATTTAGTGGCGGAAGTGGGCCGGCCCACTCACACTCTCAACAACCCACATCTTTTAAGGGGCCTGCTCAAAGTTCTAGTGGATCAGCGAAATTCCAGCCAACTTCTCCTTCACAAAACAGAACAAGCGCAAGCTCCACCAGATTTACAAGGGAGGTGCGACGCCTAACGGAGAAGGAGCTGCAAGATAAGAAAGCCAAGGGGCTGTGCTTCTGGTGTGATGAGAGGTGGGGAATCGGACACAAGTGTAAATCCAGGGAACTAAGCGTGCTTCTTGTAGAAGAAGAAGAGCAGGAGGGTGATGGGGAATTAGCGGCGATGGAGGCTCCGGAAGAGGAAGAGGAGTGGCCAGCGGTGATATCCATAAATTCTCTAGTGGGGATCACGAATCCGAAGACCATGAAGCTGGTGGGGAAAATCGGTGGGCTAGATGTGGTGGTCATGATCGACCCCGGGGCCACACACAACTTTATATCACTTCACACAGTAGAAAAGCTTGGGATTACGGTGACCGAGGAGGGAACCTTTGGGGTGTCGTTGGGCAATGGCGAGGCAGTGAAAGGTCGAGGTCAATGTTGTGGCGTAAGGTTGGGCCTGGGTGACGGGGTGGAAGTGACAGAAGATTTTTTACCTCTTCAATTGGGAAACGCCGATGTCATCCTTGGCATTCAGTGGTTAGAGAAGCTGGGCTCAGTGTTAACCAACAGGAAAACTCAAGAGATGAGTTTTGAGCGGGACGGCGAGACTGTAACTATCAGGGGAGATCCCTCACTAGCAAGAACGGGGGTCACCTTGAAGTCCATGATTAGGACTCTCAGGAAGGAACAAACGGGAGTGTTAGTGGAGCTATGCTAGTTAGAGGAAATTAGGAAGGACACTGAGAAGGAGGCGAATGGTACGGAAGTTCCAGAATTTCTACAGGAAGTGATGGAGGAGTATGCTGCGGTGTTTGAGACGACGGAAGGGTTGCCACCCAAGAGGGGGCACGAGCACAGTATCATCCTCAAGGAGGGTACCAATCCAGTAAGTGTCCGGCCCTATCGGTACCCCCAATTTCAGAAAGATGAGATTGAAAAACTCATAGGGAAATGTTGACGGCCGGGATTATCCGTCCATCTACTAGCCCCTTCTCGAGTCCAGTCCTTTTGGTCAAAAAGAAGGATGGCTCGTGGCGTTTTTGTGTTGACTATAGAGCATTGAACAAAGAAACCGTTCCCGACAAATACCCCATACCGGTGATTGATGAATTATTGGATGAGTTGTATGGAGCTCAAGTGTACTCCAAGCTAGACCTTAAAGCCGGTTATCATCAAATTCGAGTGAAGCCGGAAGATACCCACAAAACGGCGTTCCGTACTCATGAGGGTCACTACGAATTCCTTGTGATGCCTTTTGGTCTCACAAATGCCCCGGCTACGTTCCAATCCTTGATGAACGAGGTATTTCGACCTTATTTACGCAAATTTGTACTTGTATTTTTTGATGACATTCTAGTGTATAGTGCTAGTAGGGAGGAGCATGTGAAACATTTGCAGGCTGTACTGGCCACTCTCAAGGACCACCAACTGTTTGCTAATCGAAA